ATTCTTGTTCCTCGCCTTGCGCGTTCTTCTCGTAGAGAATAGAGATATCTGTGAAACGTCATGGCGCATTGTAATATCCGCGGGGATCTCTCGCGTGCCATCTCTGCTGCTGGGCCATCTCATCAGCGAGGCGGAAATGAGAGGGATCGCGTGAGCGGGCAACGTTGTCGCGCGGATGGGACGGCAATGCGACAAGCGCGACTGCAATCTCGCTGGCGAAGAGATCAGAAGAATTAGCTTGCTTCGTGCTGCAACGCGAATGGAGACGTCGAGTAACTTCGCCGCAAGTAAATGTGAGCGAACCGTCGGGATCGGGATGAGGGGCTGCGGTCGTATACATATGTACGCACACACATGTGCTCTTGTCATCTTATCATCTCGCATTCGCGATTTCTCCGCAATTGTACTTCTCTAAGTTTTATCATAACTGTGTGTTCTTTACGTGATCGCATGATCACGCGCGATTCCGTAAAAGCGTGAAACGTACATCGGCCGCTATAACCAGCCGCGGAGCAATTAAAACCATTCGACTGACGCGCGCCGGTCGTTATTTAACCACCCGCTCGCGTTACATCGCCATAAAAATATCACGTCCGGAAGAGAGTCGCGAATTGCGTGCGGCGCGGCTACGTATTGCCGCTTCGCGATACGGTCTAATCGTGGCGGATGTTCGTCAAAAGCGCCAGACGACTACGCGCGTAACGACGCGAATATTTTGCGGCCATCGCAGCATGTGAGAGACGTATGACATGGCTCCGAACTAACCTGCCGCAGACCTGACGTATTGTTTGTCACGCGTGCGGCAAGCCGTTGACGTTAACGCGTTACTATTAATGTAGGGAGTAATTAGAACAGTTTGTCGAACCGCGGTGTAACTTCGCGGTCGTATTTTACGACGGAAGTGTCGCGCGGATGTCGTAAATGTCGCTAACGTGGCGCGACTAATAAACATAATGCACCATTGCTATTTGAAGTAACGTGCAAGTTGTTTATCGCGATAAAATACCGTCGTACTGTTCAGTCGAGTTGATTAATTAACGCAGCCTGTAGTTTGTAATTGATTATTAACTCATAAATCGTTATAAGTCGTTATCTCGTCGCCGATTGGGACTTTTCATGCCTACATGAGCTCGTCCATATTTTATGAAGTCACACGGGGAATAGCTATGTAGAAAAAAAGTTTGCAATGTTTTGCGATGCTTATTGATAATCGAAAAAAATATTATGCCTAGAGGCACAAACGCAGAAACGTAATGCTTATTAGTCGTTTTCGTGACGATCTTCGCAGCGATATTTGTGGTCGAGCAATGAATTGCGTTAACGGTAAAAGCCTGATCCTCGAACATACATCTGGTAACTCTTATTAAACTCTTACTCATATAGTATTACAGCTACGTAATTAACAACGGTGCGAGCTTAATGACAGAGTAATTTGGAAAACGATTAATTTATATCACCGAGCTTTATACGGTTTTAGTCTTTTATGTCTGATATAAATCACTTTTATTACCCGAATAGCGACTGTCTTCAAATCGTTTTTATCAGCAACATATGATCCGAGTTTGAGTAAAATCTACGTGCAGTTATATAGTACAATTTATCTGTTTTTAAATGTATACAGCGAAAATCATGTGCAAATCTAACGTCTGTTATATTTACGAGACAGACAGTTTTCGATGTACTCATTTGGAGCGAATTGCGCGTGCGACGAGGAGGGAAGCAATCTGCTCCACGCTGTATTGCTATTATAAACCTCGTTAAGCGCGTTCTCGCGTATTAAGACGCCGTCGCGAGCTCGCGCAAAGTCGTGAACGGCTGTGCAAGAAGGTCGCGATCTAGATCTTGACTTTTGCTAAACCAGTTTGCGAGGCCACGGAGCCGCTCGCTGCAAACACGCTCGAGGCTACTGACCCTTCGTGCTCGCAAACGCGCCACGAGACCTCGCGGTACGCGCGCTGCACCTACGAGAGATGGTGGAGTCTCGACTTTCCGACCGACAGGAACCATCTTTTTCCCCTGGATTCTTTCTTTTATTAAAAAGGAGAAGAAAAAAGCCCGAAAGAAAAGGAGCACGCGGTGAGAAACCGCATACGATATTGCAAAAGACTTTAACATACAAATATCAAATATTAAATCTCGTCATATAAATATGTAGCATTACAGATTTAAATTCGATCAGTTAATTTTCACAATTGATAGCACACGTTGAAATAGAAATGCGTATATTTTTATGTTTCTTATACTCATTATACAGATAAATCTTTCGAATTGGATAATATTCTTCGGACCTCTTCCGTGTTTGTTACTTCGTTATTTATGATTGATGCGACTGAGGTATCGTAAAAAGACTGTTTACCACGCGCTCGCGAATTTGGCTTCATCATCAAGCGTTGTAAATGGGAAGCTTCACGTGGGGGCATGTCGCTAGATTAAGTAATGCGTGTCTCGTTGCTGCACGGCCGGTATTGACTGAATTGACAGTCTTCCGCTTGCATGCGTGCGGTCCGTCGGTGCGCGTCACTCGCGAGAGAGAAAGCAAGAGAGAAAGAGAGGGAGGCTCGGAAAATGAGTGTGTTACAATGGCGTCGATAACGGAGATGTCATCTGTCCGAACAAACTGACGTTAGTTGACCCTAGAAAAATTTCAAGTACGCAACGCACGATCCGTTACTTTGGACGGACGTCCTCATTGATTGAAATAGATGGATTGTCATACACACGTACGCTGGCAACCAACTAATTCATTGATGATACGTCTGCATTAAATACGCCGATTCTGTACACATCCTACGATCGATATTACATGTATAGCATTATGCGTGTATTAAAATTAATTTTAACATTATCCATGTAACGTTAATAATATGGCCCGATATTACCGATATAATTATCGGAATTTTATCCGGTTGAAGTGCTGTACTTTTCATCTAGTATTCTCGACGGAATAATAAACTCTTCTTTTTAAATTTTTGTTCGATATTTGAAAACCGACCATTAAAGATTCAGATCAATTCAGACTTACGAATATTTCTATTATGGGGTACTGAGTAATCTCGATACGCTATAGATCCGGATGAGCAGCTACAATGTTGGTTGTTACGACCCAAGCGTGCCTCGACGTTGTGGCAATCGACGGAACTTGCCTCCGTCCTGCACCCGCGCTCACCAAACCTCAGACTCTCAGGCCGATGACTATTAAATCCTTTTTTAAAACGCCAGGGTCCCTGCAAGTCGTGGGATTGGCTGCTCCCACGGAGAGAGAACGGTACGCGATTAGAAGGCATTTTGACATCGTGTGTTTCTCATCCTTGTATCTTGACAGGAGAGTTGTTATTACCCCTCGCATCAGGATGAGGGTCGTGCGGCTAGGTCGACCTTTCTTGCTCTTTTTCTTCTTCTTCTTTTCTTCCCTCTTCTCTTTCTCTTTCCTCTTCTTCGTTCCTACCACTCTATTATCTGCCGAAAGCGGCATACGTTAGACGTAAAAGTTTCATTCTCAATCTCACGATCTTCTCGCAGTCGTATGGATGTTGAAGAACGGATGAGGCGACGAGGAGGTGAAGAGAATATGGGCGAACGGGCGGCGCGGCGGAAGAGTATGCGGGAATCGAGCACGGAACTCTGTGCGCAAACACGACGATTGTATTACATCGAACGTTTCATTTCAACGAGCCATCGGGCATGCATACAAAATCCTTTTAACTTTATACAGCGCACGTTCTTTTTCGATCGCGACGATCGTTTCCACAAAGTTTTACCGAGGTCAGGTGATTTTCCAGAATAATTGCTGATAAAATCGATAAAATTTTGATGATAATTTAAAGGTAAAAGAATGGATGACATTACGCGGCTTGAGAGTACATTCTTTAATAATGTATTAATTTCGCAATAATTTGCGCGTGCAAGTAGTGTTTGGAATAATCTATGTAATCATTAATTTGCGAATAAATTGAATTTTATGGTGAAGGCAATTTCATCACGTCAGTGCAGTCATATCATTGGTTAATCGACATTTCCGGCGGTCGATTTACATACGGGGAACCCAGAATTCATTACAGTAGCATATTCAAATAGGAACGTAGTTAACATACTCTACCTCATAAAATATTAAGTTCGCATGATTAATATCCCTAGTTTGTTACTGTTATAATTATATGCCATTACATTTTAAGCTCTGAATCATTTATTACAGTACATATATTAAACGGCTGCCATTCATCTTTAAATCTTCATTAACTTTGTTTTATATATATATATATATTAAGTAGTTTTACTTTTTTTTAGGAAATATGTTATATTATAAAAATATAATAACAATATTATTACATTAATTGTGTAGTATTTTTATCATAACAATTATTTATATTATTATTGAAGTGATTGAGAACGACGATCAAAAAGCATAGATTTATATAATTTACGTACATGGAAAAGAATACGAATGTTTAATTAAAATGTATCGCAAGCTGTTCAGTCACGTCGGGCGACATTTGGCGCCAGATTGTATGCAAGAATTTGTTAACTCGGCTCGGTTGGCAAGAATTCGTTAATTGGAATGTCCCAGCTTGCTAATAGAATTAGATCGGGGGGCTCCGTTCCTTTCGGTGGAACAAAGATACGTCCCTTATTACGATGCGGCATCTGGCATCGTCGTTTATTGTGTTTTCGTTCGGCGATATTGCCACTGATAGGAATTTAAATGCAGAGCGTCAGATTTCGTGCTGAATGATTAAACAAATACGCATCTATTTTTACCATCATACCTGTTTTTTGTATGGGTTACATTAAATGCGAGATAAATTAGTTTCGTAACTCAATTTGTTCTATCCAAAGGTTAAAGCTTGAAAAATTAAAGGAAACCAAATGATAAATGAATGCATTATAGATTTGAACTATAAATTAAAATTAATTTATAAGATAATTTCGAGCCATTACATTCGTAATAAATAGATATAGTGTCATAGTATTGTAAAATGATATTTTCGTTTTCTTGTTTACAGGTTGGAGTAAATTGACATTCTTCTACGGAGATGCATTTATCGTACCTAATCGCGAGGTAAGCAATGATCTTCAAACGTAAATAAATCGTTAAATAAATCACATAATTACCACATAGGTACCAAACGTCTAGTCGGTCGTTTATAAATAGCATATCTATCTGTATAAGGGCGATCGATACTAATTGATATTTTCGCGAAATATGTCACCGTGCTTTAATGAGTAATCGGTCGGACGAATCGATGCACCGTCGGTGTTATTAGAACGGAATGCGACATATCGATCCCTGAATGTACGCTCGAATCCGTGCATTTCCGTTCGGTCTGCGAATTCTCGTGGCGTGCCTTCGACATGTGGAGCGTGAAGATGCCAGCGGCATCACGCAAATACGCGGTCTGTAGTGATCGAAATTAGCTGACCATTATGTTTAGAGCGGCTAAACGTCTTATGAAACATTTAGTTGTACGTAATTTTCATTTTACGTATCATCTATGTACCTATGTCATAATTTTGATATGATACATCAGAAATAAGAAGAATTAAGATAAAATGCTTCGCGTGATCCATTCACAGTAGTATCGCAATAAATCTATTTGCAATTTTACCATAAGGTGGATGAAATTTTAATTAGAAATTTAAACTCTAAAAATCATTACTCGTGCTATTTTATTCAGTTAACATACATTGTCGGGATAACTTTTATGTTCGAAAATAAATATAGGTATGTATAAACTAGTAGTTTTACAATAATAAACCAATACCGGTGCAGTTATTCAAAACATGGAAATATCAGTAAACAACAAATATTGATAAACTAATAGAATTACCATAATTGGAATAATCAAATATAGTAGATGTTTCTCGACAAATATTGAATACTTTTTTATCAAGGTCTTGCATAGTTTTAATAAAGTATTAATTTACAGCCAAACATATTACAGTTTAATGAGACTAAGGATAGAAAAATTCGATCCTCTTTCTTTTGTATAAATTTTTCGTTTTGTACATAATACATTGTATAAAACTTTTTAACTACAGGTAAGACCCGTTTTACGACAGGGTTAGGTTCCAGCAAAACAGGATCGTAAAATGAAAAGTCGTAAAACAAGACCAATTTATAATATGTAATTAAATAAGATAGGTTTCAAAATTAGCAAAATTTTTTCAAATACAATGTATTAATACTGCTGTTTTTTTTATAAATAATAAATTATTTTAGACATTTAAACTTTTTTCCATTTTTTTCCATTTTTAGGTAAATTTGAAAAGGTCGCTAATGTGAAATGTCGTAAAATGGACCATCGTAAAACGGGATCTACCTGTATTCTAAAATATAGTGAAGGACTGATTTTTTTGCGCCTGGAGAATGCATTTATACAATTATATATTAGCACAAATGGATACGAAATGTAAAGTTCTTTTTTTAATTAATGAGAATCTCAATAGCACTTATCTTACATTAGTGACATTTACATTATGAGATATTTTTTGTCGAATGCATTTTATATTGATGTTCGTGTTTGTTCTTTGAATTCCATATTTAGTTAAACGAATACTATATGCACGAGTACTTTAAATATGCATTATATTGAATTTTGAGTTAAGATACCTGCATTATTGGAATAGATTTTGAATATTTTCTATATATAGTACCTTTATATAGTAACTTTTGACATATTGAGACTAACGTCCTTCATCTGACATACTTTAATTAGCTCAAAACGATTATAACTACTGTAACTATTGTAACTTTTGTTGCAATATTCAGTTCAGTTTTCGGAATAATCTGATTTGCCGTAATTTTGTTATTACTGCGAACAACGTACTAAGTATACTTTTATCTATTTATTTATTAATTTTGCGAAAAATGTTCACTTGAACTCACCAGCAAATTCATGTATCAAACAAATGGCTCTTTTTCCGATAAACAGTAAATACCTACAAATCAATCTTTCACGGTGTTGAAATATTCTATGCATGCAAGATAAAACAGTTTTCAATTACGCGAATGTGTCAGTATTTGATTAATTTTTATCGCTATTTCTGTATTATACGAGATGGTATAATTCATTCTTATGATAGATGTAACTCAATTTTACGAAAACTGCATTATTACGTCGCTTAAATTTTTAGACTTATCTATACTTACACGCATTTGCAAAAATTAAACTAAAAAACGACGTCCGTACTGAAACTGACAAGCTTGTGCACACACGAAGGTGTTACATTTAACTCTAAAATGCATACACATTTCAGTGGTTTTCGGAAGAAGTTGTTTTAGTTAAATGTTTTTTTCGCACTATGTTTATTCGTGCTTGTATTGTATGATACTATGTTCACATACGAGTTCGCGATTTAACTTCAGAGTATTCTATGCTATTGGTAACTTTGTAGTGGGCCAATAGTAATGAAGCACATAATCAATGTAAATGGAAACCACATCAAAGCAACAACATAAAGTTTCTGATTTGTATAAACGAGAAAATAACGATGTGTAGAGAAGAGAAATTAAAAAGAAGGATGGAAGCATATTTGTCATAGTAATGAGCGTGCGCTCTGAAAGAGAGAGAGAAAGAGAAATTTTTTTTTAATTTTATGAGAGCAATTTCAATTTTATTTGCAAATTTTTTTGGCAGCAAATAACCGTCATTAAAAGTGCTCTTGCGCAAAATGCAAATTGTGACGAAAGCACTGACATTTATTTATAATGCGTTCTTTTAATATATGTTGCAATAAAAGGCGCCATTTGGACTCGCCATTTAAAATGTCGTACCGCGAAACAAGCGATATAAATTTCTCCACGGTGAAATTTCTCGAAAATAATAACGCAACGCGTATGCAAGGGATGAAGCCGACGGAAGTGCAAACGATACGAGCACGAATCGTTTTCGCCGAAAGATGAGCGGAATTTCGATGGGAGTCAACGGATTTGGTAATTGTCGCGGATTGCTGCGCGCGGGAATCAGAAACAGATGCAAAGTAGGCAATTAACGGCGGGGAGATCGCGCGGGGAAAATTGCGCCCACGCGTGATTGACTCTCGAACGGTAAACGATCTCTGCCTCGGTCCTTCTTGCCGCGCGCGCGTTGCGCATTCAGGTAAATTGCATTTCGATCGACCCAGTTTTTATTTCAATTTGTCGTGAATTTATGTGCGAATTATCGGAGAAAGAACACGGTGGAATCGAGAAAGAGAGAGAGGTGGTGGCTCGTGTAAGGAAGGAGAAGAAGAGAGCGAGAGAGACAGAGCGAGACAAAGGGAGAATCGAAAGAGGTGCGGGAAGGTGGCGCGATTTACTCCCGTCGTTTCTCGGCACTCTCTCGCTAACTACGAATCAATTTGCATTTCATCCAATAAATCGCGCCTCTCATCGTGCCTTTCCCGACATACACGGCTACGTGTTTTCCCGGGAATTCTTCATCTCCTTACTTTACGATGGGGAACGTCGAGCAAACTCGGATATGACTTCGGTTTTTCCTCTGATAACGAGCATTCTTCTCTTGTTATCTTTCTCTTCTCTCTTTCTTCTCCGAGATTTTGAAATAATGAAATTACTTTTTATAGGTAACTATAAGGGCTCGTCAACATGCTCGTTTATGATAAGAAACACGAGATTTCTTGACACACACGCGCACACGCCCACACACACACACACACACACACACACACACACGTACATACAAGAGTATATACATATATTTTATTTATCAGATTCGATAGGTTGTTAGATACCACGTGTATCAACGAAGCCTCCGCTCGTGACAAGGAGCACGACATGTTTACACGCAAGAAGGGGTGCATGCTTTAATTGTTATCAACTGGAACAGATAGGCACTAAATAAAATTCATGCCGAAGCAATTATTTTCGCGAGAAACTTAAAAATAAAATTAAAGTAATTCTTGGATGAGGATGTAAATAAATAAGAAAATCTTATAAAATTGAGACAAATAGATATTATGAGCATAATACCGTGCAAGAATAAGCTCGACTGGAGCTTATCTGTTAAATATAAGCGCAGTTATACAATTAAATATCGAATGGGTATATTGAGGTTCAATAAGCACAGTTATACGAGTTATAACATTATATTAGGGACGATATATATGAACGCTGTTATAAATATCGCGATATTTCGATCTTCGTATCATATTCTCTCGAATACGGGAGCCTCTTAAACGGTGTACAAATAGTCGGCGCTCATTCTTCGCGTGACATGAGCATGCTAATACTTCACCGACTTTCCAAGCGACCGACCCCCTGCTCGCTCAACTATATTGCAATCGTAACCCTTTTCCTCCGTGCGTGCGACACGGAAGAAGATCCACGCCGATAAAAACCGCCGTTGTGTCGACCGCTGCAACAAATGCATCTACCGGTCGATTCGGCCCTCGTGAATTTTGTGGCCTATACGTTTATAGTGTAACGACGTTACGTCACGGGCCCATTTAAAGATAAATTAAGTTACGCATCCAAAAGTTGCGTGCTGAAAAAAGTTTTGTACAAAAATAATTTTTTTCCTGAAATAAAAGATAAAACGACCGTGGTATAATTTAACGAGAGGTAGGTTAGACTTTCTCTTAAGCGAGATATAACACTAGATTCCGAAATCAGTGCGTGAAAGCCTTCTTAAGTAATAGTTACATCGAAACAACACGGTAGCATTACTCGGCCCGCGATGCGGAATAACACGCGAGGCGAAATGCGCATTAATATTTCTGGCAAATATTTTTACCGGGTAGATCTCGCGTGGATTAAAATTACCGAGCAGCCCAGAAATTTGTCATAAATTCGCCGTTGAAAGCGTATAAAACGGCCAAGGAAATAGCGGAGGGCAAAAAGTATCGCGCCAAACGGTCACGTCCTGTGCTTACTCTCGCAAAACCCGTGAGCGTTTTCACGAGCGAGAAGGGCGGAGATAGCCGCGGTCATCGTACACGCACCGGGAATATTTCGTCGACATGCAAGCCACAATCTAGATTACGGGGCGGGTAGTGCGCCTGGGAAAATGCTGGACGCTGAAATAGGCAATTTTTCTCTTCCATCACGGCGTCGCGGCC